TGATATGTATAGCCTAGAATCTCATGAAGAAAATTGGAGATTGGTCTTCTTTATTTGGTTCCTTGACATTTCAGAAGATCGAATGATATAGAGCATGATGTAAGAGATATGAGTATAAATTACTTGGATATCTGGAAATCTAGAATGCGTTGGAAATTCTTCATTTCTCTAAATCTTCAACTTGCCAACATGACTTATACAGAATTTGAATGTATACAAGGAGGACAATGTGAATGCATTCACGATAAAGTTCCTGATGAGATAATTGATAATAATACTAAATGCTGTAATGAGCTACTATGATTTGTTCTATATCAATGCCACAGTGATTTATTTTCTTTTGAGAAATTGATCGTCCTTCAATTGTTTCCTTGTTGTGGAGAAACGAGTACAAAGCTACTTATCAACTCATGGTACTTTTGAAGTAAATGCCAGAAGATGCTATTGGCCGTGGTGCCAAGTTATCCCTTGATACCCCATATTCAATGTTGTTAAATGATATTGCTGAGAAGTTGCAGGAGCCTTTTAGAGGATACATTTTTATAAAAAAATCTCTATATACTCCCACATTTTGCCCAAATCAGAATGGTCAAGTTTGTATTTTTCAACCCAAAGTTCTAGTTGCATGACTAGGTTTCCATCGCCGTTTTGGCCAAACTTTCCTTTCTATATTATCTGAACAGTTTAAACTGCATTACTTATAAAAATATTATTTGAACAGTTTTAAACTGCTTCCTTGCAAGTGGCATCAATAAATTTCTAGGGCTTTTATGATCCATAGAGGCTAGTTCATAATCATCTCTATGGAAAATTTGATGAGCCAATATGTTCAACATCTAGAGCTTGATTACACTTTGAATTTTCTGATAAGGACGGTCTTGAGTTTGAAGTATTTCTCATGTTTTCAGATGATTTTGGTCCTCTTACTCTAACACTGTTAAGGTTCAATGTTTTGCTCTGGTTGTTAATTTTTATTATCTTCCTTCCAGTGTAGCTCTTTATGCAGTGCTTACATATTTATCTTCCTTTTGGCAGTATGCTGATCTAATAGAGCCTATTAAGCTAAGAATGCAGAATGTTCAAGATTACATCAAGGTACTTGAAGCTCAAAATTTGGTTCATTGTTTATCTTTCTATTAATTGGTTTTGCATGTATAATTCCAGCTTTAATGACATGGAAATAGCCTTCTGTATCGGTCCTGCTGAGCTGGTGGGTTCGAGTGGATATGTCCAATCTGTTGTGTTTGATGTAAATCTCTCCTAGAGCAACAGATGCTTCTTCTTTCTAAAGGCTTTGACTTTGGCTTAGAAAAAACTAAAGTATGCGATAGCATAATAGAGTTTGATTTGGAAGCAAATTAATGCTCCATCAAACCCATATCGCATCATCGATCGTGCCGAAGGCTTTTCCTACTTGTATTGTGATGACAATGACATGTTCCTTGGTGCAAACTGTGTATCCAGTCTATAAAACCAGAGCTGGTGGTGGAAGCAGAACCAATTGTGGATCCCTATGGTCCGTCAATCATTGATAAGAACTTGGAGGCCATTGTTGTCAGGTGCATAGAGAAAATCTTTACTTCTGCTTCTATATATTTAGATCTCTTTCTTTTTTCCTGTTAAGGTTTGGTAGACATCCATCCTCTTAAAGCAGGAGGCTACTTTGGGGTATTGGCAGATATGTTATTTAGGCATCTCATTGCCAAGTTCTTTCTAATAGATTATGCATTTACATATCACTTTTGAGCTTCCTCGCAGCAAATCTTAAGAACATTGTTCTAGCAGTATTCATTTATTAAAATCCCAAATTTAGTAAAGCATATTTGATGGTGCCAGTAAGTTGTAAATTTTCAACAACAAAAAAATAATACTTTAATGGTAGTTTAGGATTGGCTAATTAAATTTCTTTTGTGATAGCAAGGAGACATTGCCTGGTGGACTGTCTGTTAACAGGAAGAGGGCTGAAAGAGGCCTCTCACAGCTGAAGGTCTGACTCGTGCCTCCTAAGAACAGATTCCTTTGGGAAACTCTATTCGGCTTTCTATGAAATTGTTCCTTTTGTTTTGTCAACTATGAAATTGTATGTTGAAAATGTTCTGCAGATAGAAGTTGTAGATCTGGTCTCTGAAGAATCAAGTGGAGACAAATTGAGTTCTACTGCTTTGAGAAAGATTGAAGCTGAGAAGCTCAGAGATCATCATCCAGAAAGCCAGAGCTAACTTTTTTCTAGTCTATACACAACCAAAGGAGTTTCTCTTTGTTTTATTTCAAGTTGTTTTTAAGGATGAAAATGTAGCAAAAAATAATAATCTTTTCAGAATCATACACTGGAGTTGTTCTCACAGTTACTTGTAAATCTCTATATAATGTTTGTAAATCTCTATATAATGTTTAGACACACCCCTGTTTCTCCTTTTCCTTACTTTCTTTTCCGCTCTTTTTTCCTCCCTCCCCCTCTCAAGTCTCAACCTTTTCATTTTTGTTTTTTCCCCTCTGACCCCATTATCATCTATTTGCTTTTTGGGAAGAGGATTGGGGATTGAACTATAGTAATTGGATCTTGGTGGGCTTAACAAGCCTGTAATATGAGTTTTTTTTTAACCATCTAATATCTTGTGGCCGCAATTAACGGAATTATCCACTAGGGGTAAAGCGCTTCCTACCCAAAGAGGAATTATCCCTAGGGTTCAAACCTGAGACCTCTGGTTAAAGATGACGAGATTATGGTCATCTCGTCAGACTCCTACGTGGTTACTTGATCTTTGATTATACCCGAACCAATGAAGTTTTCACTTATTTTAACTACATAAGAGCTGAGAAATGAATAGTTTATCATGTGCAAATGGAAACTGAGTTGTTACTTCACGTCTCACTTTATTTTGGAGGTAAACTACAATAAATTTAAAGAGACAGTTCAATAATTAACCTATCGTTTGGACATGGATTTGATTGAAATTTGAAAAAGAATTTTTGAAGTTGTATTAAAAAATAAATTTTGGAAGTTGAAGTTGTGTTTAGACATACATTTTATTTGAAAAAAAAATTGAAATTTTGTGAGTGGAAGGAAAAAATTTCCCAAGAAAACTGCCCTATATCATTTTTTGGTAACTTGAAATTTTTTTTATCAAAATATTTTCATATTTCATGAGCAAACAATGTTTTAATTTTTTTTTTTGGAAAAAAAATAACAAAAATCTATGGCCAACGGGAGCTAAGAGACCATGATTCTAATAGTAGTGTCATTAGATTGAATCAAAGTGATACCACTATTATTCAGTTGCACATTTTTTATTCTCTACTAAGTATGTGAAAACAAAAACAAAAAGGAAAAAGAATTTATGTACAGAAAAGCAGTAATAGTAATAAAAATACACCAATACACCTACAATGTTTATAGGCATCAAACGTGTCAGGTTAGAATGTTAACTTTTGGTCCTATGTTGGGTAGAATTCTTTGGTGATATCAAGATTTAATAGAACTTCGAGTTTTACATAAATTAAACTTTTGCAATATTAGATTGAAACGAGTCCAAAGGAAAGAAGACTGAGCATTCATATAGTTGATCTTTACATACTTGAGATTTAAACTTTTATTATTGTTGTTATTATAAACGTGTCATGCATAATTGATAATACTTCAATTTAAGGGTGGCCATAATCCATCGCAACTTTGATCTAAATATTTTTCTTCATATAAATAAGCTGAATCCTTGATTAAAGGAAAAACAAAATAAGAAGAACGAAATCCCATATTTTGATTCTCTCTCACCTTTTTTCCTAACGGTTCTTGATTCATTTAACCGCAACGGACTCAAGCGGATTCTAGAGTATCAAACTTTTAAATATTTAAAACTCCAATTTGACCCTCCTAAATCCTTCAATTCCCTCTCCAAACAGTTTGAACAACAAGAAGCAGAGAAACAAAAAGACGGCCATTTTCTTCAATTTCCAATTGCAGGTTTCTTTAATTCCTTGTTTTCAAGACACCAAATATTTTTCATTTTTCTTTAGCCCCCGTTACTGGTGAATTATAATATGATAACAATCTGCGATCTTCAAGAAAAGTTTGGTGCATTAAAATTTTCATTTTAGGCAGAGTTCAATCCTCCATATTTCCATTTTCTGATGTTCACGTACGAGTTAAAATTCTATATATGCATTGACTTGTGTACGTAAAAATTAGTACTGCCTGTTATTCTATGATAAAATTTAACGATAACTTGCAAAATAAAATCCTTCGATTATACTTCCATTATTATGGACTGAATGTAGGTGGTTCTTCACTTTTTCAGAAAGTGCAGTGAAAATGAACGATCTCATGACAAAGTCGTTTTTAAATTATACGGAATTGAAAAAACAGGTCAACTTTGATCTTGAAGCAGAGAGGGATTTGGAGAAAGGACAATTACAACTCAGTCCCACAGATGAAAACAATCTGTCCCAATTTTTTCTTGAAGTGCAGGCAATAAAGGATGACATTGAAGAGATTACTAATCTCTTAATTGATCTTCAAAACCTGAATGAAGAAACAAAGACAACTCATAGTTCTAAAGTTCTTCGCGGGCTAAGGGATAGAATGGACTCAGATATCGTTGCTGTTTTGAGGAAAGCCAAGATTGTAAAGGCAAAACTTGAAGCACTTGAAAAATTAAATGTGGCGAGTCGCAAATTATCAGTGGCGTATGCTGAAGGAACTGCGGTTGATCGAACAAGAATTGCTATGACTAATGGATTGAGATTCAAGCTTAGGCAAATCATGAATGACTTTCAGGTAGAGTTTTTTTTTTTTTTTTTTTTTTTTTTTTTTTTTTTTACATTTGCTTGATATTAACAATTATTTACTTATAACAAAATTATTTATGATTGCAGGTTCTTGTCGCGGAAGTTGGGAAGTCGTGCGATTTGTAATAANAGTCAAAACAATAAACGGGTCATGACCCCACTTGTCAAACTTTCTTTGAGTCAAATGAGCTGGGTTAAGATAGGCCAATAACGGGAAATAACCAATTCCCAACATGACAGAATCTTCCCTATTTTAGTATGCGTTTTTTCAAAAAAATATGGAAACTAATGTATTTTTCTTAGATTATTAGTTTAAGTTCTTCCAAAGTTACATAATTTCCTATCTCCAAATTTGATTTTATATGTTTGGATTTGAGTTGCATTTTGACCCACGGGTTACACTATGTTGACTTGTTTTGACCCCATCATTTCGCTTTGGATCAAGTAAATAAAGAGTCATGATACTAAAAAATGAGTTGATTTTGTCACATGTATTTTTCAGGTTTTGAGGGAGAAAATCATGTTGGATTACAAAGAGTGTCTCAGAAGAAGGTATTATAATGCAACAGGTCAGGTGCCAACAGAAGAAGTGATTGAGAAGATGGTTTCAGGAGGAAATGTTAAAGTTGAAGTATTTGAAGAAAGGACAGAACTGAATCTTGAGAACCAAGAAAGATATGAGGCAGTAATGAACATTCAGAGAAGTTTGGACAAGCTTCATCAAGTGTTTCTTGATATGGCTGTTCTTGTCGAGGCACAAGGTGAAAAGATCGATGATATTGAGCATAATATGGCTGCTGCTAGAAGCTTTGTAAGTGGAGGAACTAACAGTCTTTTCTATGCTAAGCAGATGAAGAAAAAGGGAAAGATGTGGATATGTTGGATATTGGCTGTGGGATTGATTATCTTGCTGGTTTGCTTAGTTTCAATTTTGACCTCTTGATATATAGTACTATAGAATTACTTAGAAATTCTTTATGTCTATTTCATCTTATAATGAATGAGAAAATGGAGCTAGCTATGCATTTTTCTTCTCTTCGTTTTACTTCTACTTTTTTATCCTTCGTCTAGTAACTTGAAAGTATTTCATTGATAATAGCTTTAAATAGTGTAAGAGATTAAGACTACTGGAATCCATGTCTTGTTGGTATATGATTATCTAACTTCTTTTTCCCTCTATGCTTTTTATGCTTTCAGTCGTTCATTTGAAGAAATTACTACAGCAAACTCCTATCTGGAATCCAGGAATAACTAACAGATTTCAGTAATATAATTAACAACCCAAAAATTGAAATGGCTTTTAAGAATTCTCAAGGATACTTGGATTTCAAATGTCATTTTTTGAAGAAAATAATTCTATTTGATAAGAAGCTACTCTAGGATGTTGGTTTAGTTAAGTGACACTTTCTGGAGATACTTTTCGTTTTTCTTCTTCAAGTGTTTTCTTGGGTTGGAAAGGGGAGTCTGACTTCTAAATCCTACTTCATTGATGATTGTTCAAGAATTCACATACTAATGGTAGGTGCAAATTCCATATCTAAAGGCAGGTTGTGGTTTTAATATGTAGTTTGAGCTGAAAGCAATTGGTTCAGTTGAACCCGATCCGCTTCTAATTAATGGTAAGGTCAACTCCACTCATTCAGTTTTCCTTAGGCTGTAGGAAACTTGCTGCTATACAACTATTCAAGTTTCCACTAGTTGATTAGTCCCCTGCGTATAAAGCAATTTAACTCAGATCATTCCAGTTCAAGAATAGATGATAGAAGAAAGCAGGCAAGTTCAATGAAAGCAATTGTTACAACCCTTCCTTCAAACGAATACACTTTAATTACTTGACAGAAATTCCCTTTCTTGGTTAGGAAATTTCCTAAACAAATCTCAAATGTGCATGATACTCAAAGCTGCCTCACTCATTTGTTGCATTATGAGGGATAATAACAAACCGTAAACGTGAAATGAAATCAATCTGCAAATGAAGAATGCGTTGTTAAATTAGCATTGAGGAAGATCCTTCGGTGGAGGCAGAATATTATGATTTGATCCTGGTCCATCTTCCACCACAAATCCTCTTTTAAGTCCCCAGCCAGTGTGCAACTCCAAATGACAGTGGAAAAACCAAACCCCTTCATTAAAAGAAAATTGCAACTACATGTCAGAAGGCATTAGGAAAGTTGAAACGATGACAACCTTAAACTTTGTAGAAAATTAGGTACCTGGATTATCAGCTCTGAACCGGATAGCAGTCCAACCACCAGTTGGAACACCTACAGTATTTCTCTCAGGAGGATCGATCAAGTTGTATTTTGCTGGATCTTTCTTCGGATCAAAGTTCCCAATGCCAGTTCCAACGACAAAGAAATTATAACCATGGAGATGGAAAGGATGTGATTCTACAGTTAACAAGTTGGTATCTTGGATTACTAACTCTACAGTAGAATTGAAGGCAACTTTACTAAGTCTTGTGCCTTGAGTTGTCTTGAGGTTGGCGGTAAGAGGAGCCCCCGTGTAATTGAAAGGAGTTGGTGGCTTGTCGGGAAAATCAGTAGTGTACACACCCTTAATATTGAAGTAATGAGCTTGAAGAAGTGCAGTTTGTGGCATGACAAAGGAGATGTTGT